CATAACCTCCCAAACCTGAATCAGAAAGAAATATAAAGTTTGAACAGACCAATTACCAGCAATGAAATTTTATCAGTAATCAAAACTACCTTGCTTGCTTCTGCCCTTGGAGAAAAGACTGAATAAGTCTGTCCTCATGATAGCACCTTGAATGTTAAAAACAGAGGTTCTTCCCTCTCTCCTCCTTTCTCCTCCATCACATGACATCTTCCATTGACTGCCTGTAGTCCTAAAGTGGCTGCAGAATGGTAGTGGAAGTTGGAATCATCCCTGACCTGTAAAATAGTTTCATCTTCCCAGAGCTCCTTGTCCGTATCTGGGAGGGAGTACCCTGAGGCTGACAAAATATGGAAAAATAGAAACTAAGGGAAAGGTGATGTTTGGAGAAGTTTCCAGAGACTTGCAAACTGATGTCCAAATAGTCACAGGGTTTTCCTAATACCACTGCTTAGTGCAGGGTAGTCCTGTGTGTCCTTGGCATAAGATAGTTGAGGAACAAAAGCCAGCTACGACACGGAAAATGTTCCCATAGTACAAGGAGAGACGTGAGGATCCTGGGGGAACTAGGAAGGGGGATTTGCTGGGGAGAAAGCCATGGGACAGCATGGTTTAGGAAAGGCATGAAAGACCACCTACACCATATGCAGTCTGGCTTCCTGGGAAAAGGAGGGGAGGGAGAAGTCAGGACATGGCAATGACTTAGAAAGTCACTGTGGGACAATTTAGCAAAGACATTTATTCTCTCCATGCCCATGTCCCCACTGGGAAAATGAGGATCACTGGACATTCCTTGAAGGGTTGTGAGGATTACAGGAGAGAATGATTAGAATGTAGCAGCTAGCATTTTTTTAGCCTTTATTAAGTACTGGGTATTGTGCTAAGCCTCACATGCATTATCTCATCCAATTCTCACAACAACCCAGTGAGATAGGTACTATAATTATCCTTGTTTTCAAGTGAGAGGACTAACTAGACCCCAAAGAGGTTAGGTAACAGACCCAGAGGCATGGACTCCCTGGAGGAGCTAGGGAATCAACCCTGGGAGCCTGGTTTGTTCAAGGCCTGTGCTCTTAACCCAATGCCATCTCTCACATACACTTAGACCATGGGTTCAGTCTTTCTAGTTCCTGGTGGCTTACCTTTGGGTCACAAGTGTGCACACTTCTCGTTAAGGCTCTCCATTTTATCTCATTCCTTGGCATATCCTGTATTTGGCATTCCTTAGCTTTTTTTTTTTTTTTGAAGTTTTTTTTTCCCCCCCCAACTTCCAACCTGTGCGTCAATATAAGGAAGAAAAGGGGAGGTTACTTTCTTTAAAAGTTTCTTTGCCTACTTTTGTTTCTATAGTAGAAAGTCAATACCTTCTTTGAGCTAATACCAGGCATGTGTCAATTTGCTATGGAGCCCTCCGCTGGGATTCTCCAGACACACATATTGGAATTAATCACAGTAAATTCTATATGCAGGTTGCTTTTCCCCTTTTAGCTTTGTAAATTCTTCACTCATACTAAATTTTTTATGGCCATTAAAGTATTCTTCAGTTAGGTCAGCCAGAAGAGGTTGCTCCAAATTTTGGAGTCAGCACTAGAGCCATAAAGGGTTAAAATACTTGGTCACTTTGGCTACTGGCTTCTAGTTTTTGGTGCTGATCACTGGCAGGAAAACCTCCCATTTTTCATCTCTCTCAAGATGTTAGATTTCTACTTTAAATGTGATCATAGGTGTTTTGAATGGATGCATAATCTGCTAGTAAGTTGATTTTTTTTTTTACTCTGAAGGTGCCTTTACTCCCATATGAAAGATTGCCAAGAACAAAATGCCTATGCCATGCCAAAAAATTAGTCTCACTAACCTGTTTATTATAAAAGATTTGCTATAGCATTTCTTCACATTTCTCCGTTCTGTTCCTGTTGGCCACCATTTTAAAGCTGCACTGCTGCCTTTTCCCTACCTTATTTCTCCACACATTCAAGTCAGAAATATGGAGACGTTTAGCAAGATACAAAGTTAAGTCATTCATTCTATAATCCCCCCACGTTCACTTGATTAAGGATGGCACCAGAACCCTGGTACTCTTCTGACCGGATGAGTTTTGGTTAAAAGATAAGATACACCAGGCCAACCTCAGTGAAATGGTTGACCCCATCTCTGTTTCTGTACCCACTATACATACCTAGAGAATCACATTTATTACAGTTGTGCTGATTATATATTTTAAGCCTGTCTGTTCCTCTCGACAGAGAAGTCCTATAGGAAAGGTTCCACCTCATATTTGCCTTTGAATTTCCAAGTGCATTGCACAGTTCCTGGCAGATAATTTATTGTCACAATATTTGCTAAATGAATGAATGGTCATGATTCAGACTTATTTTTAACATAAAAATTCTGTTCTGCACAAAGCACTGACGTGGTCTTTTTGGCAACATTAGATTTGGAAAACACATCTCCCATTTAACCACAGATGCATGATTATTGTGTGTTGACCACATCCTGGGGATAAATTCTATAGTTTCACTGCTTTAATCATTCTTCTTGGTCAATATCCGGCATGGAGTGAAACCCCACAGGAGTTACTAAGCCCTTGAAAATACCTCATCAACTGAACCCCACACACAGAATATCTATTTTAAATGCATTGCAGTCTTTTGGGCATTAAGGCAAATGTTTTCTAATAAAGTATTTTTCCCTAGAATTGACTTTTTTATATTCACATTTTCCCCAGCCTTTGTTGTCTTTACTTGTTCATATTTTACCATTATTTATTGTATCTATTCATATTGCAAGCCACTTTGAATTCTTTGGAAAATGAGATGGGATATGACTAAATAAATTTTAAAAACACTGCTATGTCCTAGGTAGGTGAATGGGATTCAAATCAGAGACTTTGTGGGGAGGTAGATGGAAGTTCTTTCTCTCTTCCATGGTCCACGCCATGATCCTGGGTAGGTCACTTAATTCACATTACTCTTTGATTCTGTTAGTTGATGTAAACAGTTGAAAAATCACACCTTCAAAAATAGTGACTGGGGGTGCCTGGGTGGCTCAGTCGTTAAGCGTCTGCCTTCAACTCAGGTCATGGTCCCAGGGTCCTGGGATCGAGCCCCACATCAGGCTCCCCGCTCGGCGGGAAACCTGCTTCTCCCTCCCCCACTCCCTCTGCGTCTCTCTGTCAAATAAATAAATAAAATCTTTAAAAACAAAACAAAAATAGTGACTGGAAGGGTTTTTTTTGTTTTTTGTTTTTTTTTTTTTTAAGAATAGTGACTTAGTCATGGCACTAAAAAGAACCAGTCACGCCTCCTCAGCAGTTCTTTCCAGCCCCAAAAGAATTGTGTTTTGTTCTTCAGGTCCTTAGGGACAGAATGCCTCATGAAGACATTCTTACTACTTCTTGGAAAATCAATTAATAAAGCAATAGCCTGCACATCTGGTATCTGTGGGGAATATAGTAACAGTGTAAAACAGTCTAGAACCTCAAGGGACTTTAGGTTGACAAGAAATAGAGCTTGGCACTTGGCACGAGAGAGCAGGAGAAATAGCCCTGCACTTGGAATCCGAACACCTGGTTTTGGACATGCTATGGGATCTTGAGCCTTTTCCCTAATTTTTTCAGACTTCATTCCTTGCTTGTCAAATAGAGCTGATAGTGGGGCTGTAGTCAGGATTAAATAAGAGAATGAGCATTGAAGAAGCTTATAGCTTGTAAAATAATATCAGGAGTACATGTTATAATAAAGAAATAGTGTTTATAGTTAATACCAAATGCTGGGCATTGAAAAGAACTTTGGAGGCATACAGACCTGGATTCATGTCTTTATTTACTATCTGGTTTCAGGCAAAGTACTGGACACCTATGAGTTTCAGTTTCTTAATCTGTATAATGGGTACAGATGGAGCATGGTAGAGCTCCGAGGAACACTGGTGGCAGAGGACAGAAAGCATGAAGCAGAGTGGCTGGCACATAGTATGCACCGAATGAGTGAAAGATTTCATTTTGTGACGAATATAGCTTAACAATAGACATTGTATATAATTTGGTGCTAAATTTTGTTTGCTTACAGCCTGTGGATAGTGTAGGAGTTCAGAGAAGAGGAATACCAACTATATTTGGGGTCTTGTTAAAAAGACTTTATGGAAAAGGGGTGATTTGAGATAGGCCTGGAAAGATGAGTAAGCTTTGCTTAGGTGGAATAAACAGTAGTGTTTACCCAAATTAATCCTCTGGGTTTAGATAGCATAGTCATGATCACACTTGAATTTTTCTTGGCCCTTGTACAGCACCTAGCATGGGAGCTTGAAAGTTATTTACATAAATCTGTCACCTTGGGAATTCCTGGAAGAAAGGGAACACATTGTTTTCATCTCTTGTTCCTTAAAGTAGTGGCTTTCAATCCTGATGGCTCTCAAATCCATGAATATCACCTGGAGAGCTTTTAAAACTACCTATGCTGAGGCCTCATGCCAGTCCCATTACATAGGAATCTCAGGGTATTAGGCCTGGGTATAATGGTGTTTTTGCAAAGCCTCCCGGGCATTTATTACATAAATCTAGGTTGAGAACCATTTCCCTAAAGCATCAACCACACATGAATAGTTGTGTGTTCAATTGTTGAGATGGTTGTATGGAATGGAATATGCTGGAAAACACACTGGACTGTGATTAGGAGTTGCAGGTTCTAGCTGTAGCTCTGCCCTGACTGCTGGTTGAAATCTTTGGTCTCCTTAAGTTCTGTGTCCTCATCTGCTAAAGAGGGAGGAGGGACTCTCTCTCTCTCTCTTCAAGCCCTGATGGTCTATGATGTAGCCAAGCAGACATCATCCCCATCATCCCCCTTTGGGGAGCCAGGCTCAGTGGTGGAATCGTGGGGGTGCATCTCTTGCTTTCCCCATAAATATACTTCTCCTTCCCATACCAGCCCCACCCACAGGCACATGAGAGGAGCTCAGCAAGGACATCTGAAAACCGTTTTCCCCTTTTCCCAAGAAAGGCCATAACATCATCAATCTGTGTTTGTTTTATTTCTAATGAGGGAAATGTGCCCCTCTTATTGGAAACACCTTGTGGAAAGATGCAAGAGCCTCTCCCTGCAGTCTGGCAGATGAGAGCAGAGCTGCCGGCTGCACTGAACCTGTCCCCACAGCCGAGACTGACACAGCCCCAAATGCTTTCCATACGTAAACCTTTGTGAAGTTTCCTATACACACAGTGCAGACTAGGCCCCAGTTGTGTTTCTGGCGAAGGTAACACAAACCACATGCCTGGAGAGGAGTCAAGGTGAATATATTTCCCCCAGAGGCAAAACATAAATGGCACCTTTTTGTCCTTGGACCCCTCCTTCCACGCACCAGGCATTGGTAAAAACCTGTAGAAGTAATTGCAAACATCAGTCCTGAAAAATCACTGTGCACTTGGGCTACCAATTTTTACTCTTAATAAACAGCAGAGGGGGCTGGAAATTAGAAGGAAGGTAGTACATATCTAGGGGATTTCATTTGGCATCCTAGCTTCTTAATCTGGACTTACCAGGTAGGAGGTGCTGTGCAGACGGCCTGTGCCCTAGTCCTCGAGCTCTTTCCTAGGTCCTGGAGTGAGCTTCAAAGAGCCATGTTGGGTAGAGCTGGGAGCCAGGCTGGCTTGTCCCCCATGCTTGTGAGAGTTTTGAGGTGGGGGGGGCCTCTGGCCGGTCAATGGGTGGTAGCAGCAGCCATTCTGAGAATAGGACTTCCTGCAAGGATGAAATTAACAGCCCTAGAATCATCTAGAGAATAATTCCTGGATTTCTGGTGATTTGTAAATAATATTTTGTTAGAGACTCCATTTGAACTTCAGTTAAGCCCAAGAAGGAGCTCAGGCTCTGGAAGCAGAACGAAGTCACATTCTTCCTACCCCAGATCATCGCTTCTATATCTAACCCCATCATTTCATGTCCTCAGAATCTCAGACTCCTCATCTGTAAAATGAGAAGAACGGTAGCCACTGCAGAGAGATTTTGCAAGGATTAGCTTATAAATGAATGGGCTCTGATGCCAGGCTGCCTGGGTTTGAACCCCTCTCTACCACATTGCAGTTCTGTTGGGCAAGTTGTTCTTCTCCCCCTGCTTCAGTTTTCTTATCTGTAAAATTTTAAGATTAGGAGGGTCTACCTCATAGGGCTATTGTGAGGATTAAATGAGTTAATACTCATAAAGCTCCTGGAATAGTGACTGGTACAGAGTAAGTACTCAGTAAGAGGAAGAACATTTATTGTGCATTACAGCCCTTCACACAGTGGCTGGCATACTGTACATGCCCAGTAACTGCCGGTTATTATGACTACTAGAGCTATTCACTCAGCTGGGGAAGGAACATGTGTCCTCACCTCTCATTTCCTCCCTCTAGACTTCCTCATATGATTCAGTGAGTCCACTGAGGTGTCATCCCGGCCCTGAGGGAAGAGAAAGAAGAGTTGTGGGACCAAGCCAATAGAGCAGGGACATCAGGCTAGCAGCCCAGGCCCCAGGGGAGAGCCCAGGCCCAGGATCGGCTGACCTTTCTGCAGAAAGAGGAGAAACCACAGCAGCCCTCACTTTCCCTGGGCTCTCATTGAGTCATGCTAAGTCATTCTTGGGTCTTACCCCATGGAAAAAGTTGTTTCTACAGAAGCCAGAGAATTTGTACCTAGGGCCCCAGGCTCTGTGCTCAGACTAGGATGTTCTGATGGAGGCTATGGATGAGGCTGGGTATCTGCTTTGAAAAAGAAAGTTCTCTTCTGGGGTCAGAAGAGGAGGACAATAAGCAGTCTCTGGTTGGCTCTTTAGCATAATTACTATTCCTTTCTCTAAAATTAGTCCATGCCTTCTTCCTAGAGAAATGGTCTTAATTCACATTCATTTATTCTATAAATATTGGAGGGGAAATATATGCCAGGCACAGTGCTAGGGAATGACCTCAAAAAGGGTTTCATGAAATCTTAAATAATTACTATACAGTATTTTCAGCTTGTAATATAAGTGGGTTCAAAATCCAATGGAGGCATAATGGATGGGGAGATCACACAAGGCTTCAAGGAGGAAATGATGTTGGTGTTGAGCTGTTGGTTTCCAGAAACAGGCCCATGTGAGTTAAAATTCTGCCTCTGCTACTTTTTGATCTTGGAGAAGTTATCTTAACCTTTCTGAGCCTAGGTTTCTCCACCTGTAAAATGACGATAATGGCACCATCTTTAAGGATTTTCTATGTGGACTGAGATAAAACAGAATAGTGTGCCAGGAACACTGTAATTAACAAATGGTGGCCATTTTTATTTATTTATTTATTTTTAACAAATGGCCATTTTTAATCAGTGAAAATCTGCATATGCCTAAAAATTCCACGGGGGGGAGTTTTTTGCAAAATTATGGCATATTTGGAATTTACTATTAATGTTTTTATTTCACTGATGGTTGAATCTGAGTCTATAACCCTGTAGTCAGGATCATTTAAGACTGTGGGTTGCCCAAGATCCATTGAAATTCCAAGTATTCAGGAGTGAGTTCAGGTGGTGGGTCCCTGTACACATATGGCCAGGGTTCATGAGCCAAACTTTCACAGATGCATGCACATACCACTTCTTTTGTGCATGGCAGAAGGCTGATGTAGTAGCCTAGACTTATAGGAGGTCTTGTGGGGTCATCCCACACAGGCTGGCTGCATCTCGAAGTTAGGGGAAGAGGAGAAAGAGATAGGATGTCTCAGCAAGACTCCAGGACATTCAGTTCATAAAGCATGTGATTCTTTCTGTGGAAACCTCTGTCTCCATAGTGAATGAAGGGTCTCCTGTATAATGAATGACCCTTCCCCAAACTATCCAACTAGTATCTATGGAGCATCAACTTGTGCCAGGCATGTGAATTACATGTGGTTGCCACCTTTATCAATTCTGTATAAGCTGAGCAGAACAGCAGTAGCATTTTTGAGAGAATGGTGACTTTCAGCCATTCAGCACAGAATTCCCTATAAGTATTCTTGATTCCTTCTGCTTGTGCTATCTTCCATTAGTTTCACAGAACCTGGTCTCCATTTTTATTTTTTGAGATCTCTTCCTCTCCTCTCATGATCCAGATTGTGCCATGTCTTTAAGAGGCTTGATACTCATTTAGCCAAAAAGAGACATGAAAATGGGCTTGGGTATAACCAAGAGTAAATGAGGTTCATTCCTCACTCATCTCCCCTTTCGCCCCACCTATGGTTATTTAATTGTGAGTTCTCTTATGGCAGTTAGGGATTTGATTTATTATTTTATGTGCACTCTACCGTTGTGATTCAGTCTGTTGTTTTTTCAATGAGGAGTCTCCAACTAGAACACACACTCTTTGTGGTCAGGGGCCATGTCTTTTCATTCTTTCATGGTCCTGATTTCTTTTAAGGGTATCAACAAAGCAAGTCTCAAAAAACAACTCTCTAAATAGGGCCAAAGAATATTTGACACCTGCTTGGCTGTAATGCTACCAAGAGAATATAGTAGTTACAGGAACTTTCTGGATATTCCTAAAATGCCCATTATTCAAAGTTGGCCTAGAATAAGATAGGATCAGGTCTGGCTCTCACCTACCTCTACATTCCTCTCCATCACATCCCTCCTCACTCTAATCTCAAGACTTACTGGCTCTCTTGGACCACTTCAAAGATGCTAATTTGCACACATTGTTCCCTTTGTCTGGAATGCTTTCTCCCACCCTTCACCCACACCCAGCTCACTTTTGCCAAATTAATTCCCACTCACCCTTGAGAATTCACCTCAGTTACCAATTTTTCAGAGAGTCTCCACTGATTTCCCTCACTACGTAAAATCCTTTTGTCTCTAATATTTTTGCAGCACGTTTACCTTTCCTTTAGGGAGCTTAATACCTAACATATTTGTTATGTAATTGACCAGCATCAGTTTCAAACTTCCTCTCTAGATGGTAAATTCCATGAGGGTAAGCCTTGTCTATTATTTATTCATAACTTTATCCATAGTACCTAGCATGTAATAGGAATTCAATAAGTCTTTTAAGTGAATTATTTGAAATGAATGTCGACATTTACATCAATCTGCAATTATTTAATAAGCATCTACTATGGGAAAATGTGCTGAGGCTAATAGAGGATAAGGAGAAAGAAAAATGCTATGAGCTAGTAAGGTGCTAACAGCAGAAATGATATTGGGTGATGGATGAGTGGTCTAAAAAGCAGGCCAAAAAACATGGAAACTGAACAGTGTTAGAAAGCGAGGTACACAGAATGGAATGGGCTTAACTCATGAGGGTGAGGGAAGGCAGGTAGAGCTGATGATGAAACTGATGTGTTACAATGTCAACTTAGTGGCCTAATTGAGTAAAAGCCTGTTTATTACTCTTCAACTGCTGCATAACAAATCACTCTAAAACTTAGTGGCTTAAAACAACACTTACCGTCTTATAGTTTCTGTGGGCAAGGCTTAGTTGGGTCCTCTCCTCTGAGTCCTTCACAAGGCTGGAGTGATAATCTCATCTGAAGGCTTGACTGGAGAAGTATCCATTTCCAACTTCACTTACATGGTTGTTGGCAGGATTCAGTTCCTTATGAGCTATTGGACCGAGGGCCTCAGTTCCCCACCAGCTAGTAGCCAGGGACCCCCTTTGGTTCCTTGCCTTGCAGGCCTCTTCATAGGGTAGTTCACAAGGCAGTTGACTTCATCAAAGTGAGCAAGTGAGAGGGCAAAGAGAGTACAACCGAAGGAGAAAGAGCAAGAAATGAATCACAGCCTCCTATAACCTAGTCTTGGAAGTAACATCTTATGATTTTTGCTGTAGTCCATGAGTTACAAGCAAGTCATTAGATCCAGACCACACTCAAAGTGAGGGAATTACAAAGAAGGCAGAAATCAGTAGGGAGGGGACTATATTTCAGATACTGCCTAGCACAGTCTGTGATGGCTGGTGCCAATTAGAACTGGAAAAAATAAAATTATTATCTTTACATTTCAAGGGTTAATTGTGTTAAGGCTAATTAGCAGGCATAAAAGACAAGGTAAACTAGGAGAACATGGCTCAGAGTCTTGCACAAGGTGGAAATTCAAGTGGAAATATTGTTATAAAGCATTATTTTCTCTTTCAGTCCTGTCTTAGGAAGTCCCTCCCAGACAGAGAAAGAAAACTGTGATAAAGATAGGAACAGATACAGAGGAGATAGGCAGAATTTTGAGATAGGTGTACTTATCAAACTCATACTTGAGAGCAGGCATAAGCATTGAGAAGTCCAATGTTCCTGGACCTCAAAAGATTCCTGCCACACTCCACTGCTCACCACCTCTGTGGTCCTTCTCCAGCCTCCCCCCAACTATTTTTTTCACTTTTTTAATTGTTATGTTAATCACCATACATTACATCATTAGTTTTTGATGTAGTGTTCCATGATTGTTTCTGCATAACACCCAGTGCTCCATGCAGAACGTGCCCTCTTTAATACCCATCACCAGGCTAACCCATCCCCCTCCCCTCTAGAACCCTCAGTTTGTTTTTCAGAGTCCATAGACTCTTATAGTTCGTCTCCCCCTCTGATTACCCCCTTCATTCTTCCCCTCCTGCTATCTTTTTTTTTCTTAACATATATTGCATTATTTGTTTCAGAAATACAGATCTGTGATTCAACAGTCTTGCACAATTCACAGCACTCACCATAGCACATACCCTCCCCAGTGTCTATCACGCAGCCACACCATCCCTCCCACCCTACCCCCACTCCAGCAACCCTCAGTTTGTTTCCTGAGATTAAGAGTTCCTCATATCAGTG